ATGTTGTTGCGAAATCTTTTGAAGTTGCCGTCATCAAAGAAACTTTAGAAAGCTATAACTTTCTCAAATTTAGGTTTTTTTTTAAATTCAAAAAGTATTAAAAATCGGCTTAGATTCTCTACATTAATTATGGATACCGCTTAATAAAAAAATTTTATGCAACGACCCTATTATTTAAGATGCTGACCTGCAAGTCACAGTTTTGGCAGAACGCCTCGCTGTGAAATTTTTGCAGACTAATAAATTTCGCGACGTATATGTATACATGTATAACAATCCTTCGCGAATGGAGAAGAAATCGATGTAACGATACATCACGAATATTATATGCTGTTTATCCGTATATCGTATATTACACAACCGAAGACTTCAATCAATCGGACTTTTCTCACCATGTTATTACGCTGCTTCCCCGTCTGAATCCCCGACATGTTTTTAATCCAAAGTTTTATATCGGTTTCGAGACACAAGAAAAGGAGAGAAAAAAGACAAACGTGTGAGAGAAGAGAGGGGGGGAAAAGGGGGATGCGTTTATGTGATCGTTCGATAAAGGGCATTCGTTCGTCGAACCTCTCTCCTCGTTGCCAATATAACCGATTTTAGTGCCTCGTGAAACCAAGATCCTTTTCATTAAAGCTTTTACTGCTGACTAAATACGGCGAGCTGCGGCGAAGGGTCGGGCAAAGCGGGGCAGAATATACGAATGAGAGAACGGGTGGGAGGAAGTTCTAATCCCCCGAATGTTAACTTGGATTACGTGCAAACCGACCGACCTTCTCTCTTTACCACAGGCGGCTAATAAAGACCGGAGTAGTGTGCATAGTGACCTATTCAATTGAAAGCACAGATACACCGGGTGATCGAGTAAACGTCCGCAAGCGTGACGAGACGGGATTCAATCGATACTGGATATTTCTATCGGGTTGAGAAGTAAATAACTCATGAGGTACGTTAAAATATTCTCAAAAATTACCGTGAAATGTTCGTCGTCCGAGAAGAATTGAGATTGGCAAACGAAATCAAGTCGATCGCGCAAAAATAAAATTTCAAGAATGTAACTTTAAACTTGCATATTAAAAGAAAGAAATGTAATAAGTATGTTTTGTGGAATTATATAGCCTGCTGTATAAAAATTTAAGCTGCACGAGATTTTAAGCTATTGTGTTCATGGATTTATTATATCTATTTAGTTATTTCTCAGCCATTTTTGCCTTTTTACGTATTTACCACTGCGAGTTCGAAAAGCAAACAAAAAGAAAAAAAAACTTTACAATTTTTCATGCTTGAGCACGTAGCGATCCCATTATGTTACGCAATGGAACGAACAAAATCCCATGCATCTTGATGGTTCGTGCTTATTCATTTATTAAGTTCGTTACTTAGTTGTCTTCGGGAATGCACGCGGTGCGTCGGTGTTGTACGCGTCAGCTGAACGCCAAGTTACTTTATTTCGTATCATTGGCTCGCTGTTTAAAGAAGCATCGTTTGCGCGTCAGTGTGTACTTTAAAAGACGAGGTCGTCGGTGCAGAACGTCGTGGAGAGACTATACGCGTCCAGACGGCGACGTCGTCGACGGCGCCAAGCGCCGTGCTAACTAGCACCCCTAGCACACATACATACACATGCCCACGCCCTTTATTAAACGTCGCCACCCCCGTCGGCGCCCCCCCTACGCGTCCTCCTTCATAAAATTGAACGCGACGTGTACACCTATACGCACCGACGATGACGTACACACGTACGGAAAGAAAACGGACGGGAGGGCTCGGGCGGGCTCGGGTAAAAATCAGAGCGAGAAGACGAAGGGACTCGAGCGACGGTCATTAAGCCCAAAGGTTTTCATTCTGATAGAACGACCTGTCAATTTGCGCGAATTAAAGTGTACTATTCACATCACGCGTCGCTTTTTACCGAAGTAATTATTCAGGTTTTCGGTGAGAAAAATTTTTTCGAATGCGCCAATATTTGTAACGTTTTGTTGATGACGTTTTTTCAACGTAATTATATCGATGCATTTGATAAAAGGTTGTTAATTGCAGATAAGTCTAATTTAAAAATGTCAGAGTATGGCTCTGTATCGAGTCTTTCTTGTTATATATGTATAAAAAATATAAAGGGTCTACATTGTCACAATATCTTTGTGCAAAAAATATTGCTATATACACATCTAAATCTATGTTATTTTTCATAATAGGATATTATGAAAGATAATATATATAAATTCTTTAATTTATATATACACATAAGATAAATATAATAAATATATAATTTGCATTTACATATAAATTAAATATGTATATATATATACATTCATATATCTATATACTATTCTTATAAAGAAAGGCATTATTTCAAAAGTGCAAAAGTGTATTAATTATCAATTTTTTCAATATTCTCCTTTTCATCTTATATTTATCTTTGATTCGATTTAATTTATTGGTAATTCTTTGATACCAAATTTTTTCTTATAATACATATTAATTGAACTTAAAAAGCCGAAGTTGAAGGTTCATCAATTCGTCTAGAATATTTTCTTTATTTTAAATAAAAATTGTGGTCATTTAAACCGTGAAAACTGTGACGATTGCTTATCCACATTCGGTTGCTATTATTCCATTACTTGTAACCAGAGTCGAGCACTTGTGACCCTTCTCGAATGACTAACGATCTGATGAGATGGAGGATGATTGATCGGACTCACATACACACACTCTTGACTATTAATTAACTTTGCTAATACGATGACGGAAACAGTGTACAAGTCCGTCGCCCAATTTACTAATGAAATGGTAACGATATCATTGAAATTCGAATACATGGAAATATAATACTTATAAGAGCAATAAAAAAAATGATATTATTGAAATTCGAATGTATGGAAATATAATACGTGTGGAGGGGGGGGGGGAATAACAAAAAATAATATCGGCCGCGTAAACTTTGGATCGTCTCTCTAACTGTCCAATTATAGAGCTGCGTAACATTCAAAATCAATTCTGACGAATCAAACTTCGGGGATAAACTTGTAACGCAATCTTCATTCATCCATTACGTCGAAGATAAAGTTAACCGACGGGCGCAATAGCTCGTTCCTAAATAGATCGCGATGTTAAATTAGTTGTGACTATTATTAACCCGCCCGAGGGAAAATTGCATATAAACAACGACGTGAAATACGCACGTTTAAAAAGTGCACACACGCTCACGCTGTCGTGCATATTCATTAAGTAAACACCCTGCAAATGACTGTTGCAATTAACAACAGGGTAGCGTCGACTGCAAATCTTGATACTTTACCGAGGAATATCGAGGGAACAATATCGCACTGCTGCATCTTTAATGACTCTCTCGTATCGCGGGGCGTGTTTGCTTTATTGTGTGCTTAAACCCGGCAACTTTTCAGAGCCCGTTGCGGCCTCTAAGATGAAGATTGCGCGGACTAAATATCGACCCCTCTGGCCGGTTCGTTAAGCGCCTTCACCCTCGGCTTTCTAAATTTAGTCGACTCCGTTCGATGCCATTCTTTTTACTTACCCCCGAGCGAGTCCACCGCCGCGCCGGCCTAATCGCGTTAATTTTGTAGCCGCTGGTTCCTTTGACACAATCCGCGTGGACGAGGCTCGCGCCGCGCCGTTCCCTTTGATTCCCGCGCCACGCCGCCAGTGATTAACTGCGGAAAAGGGGGAAAGGTGTGTGTGTGAATAAACTTTCGCTTCGCGCAGTCTTATTTGTCGCGGCTATGCCGAATAGGCAAATGCGCGACGCGAAATCTTTGACGCTGGTGCAAAATTGATTTCTCTTCCTTTTTGGAAAGACTAAGGAAGGAGCGCCGCAGTTAATTAAGCTTAGTAATTACCTCGAAGTAAACCTTCTGATAAACTTTACACGCGGTCTCTTGTGCTTGCCGTGACGGACAACCGCAAATTTTCGACGTGGTTTTCGACAAAATTGTTCCTGAAAAAATATAGAAAATTATTTTCTTATTCTCAGTTAATTCGACGAGAAATAATAGTAGAGCGTTACTAATTATCATCATTTACCTGGACCTTCCGCGGTGGTCGCCCGACGATCCACTCGTTTCCTCGGGTCAGGCACTTTGTTTTTCAAACGCAACGCGACGAATACACGACCGATCGAAACACACCCGGCGGTTCCTAGTCGGGAAAATAGACGCGGCGCGATTTCAGAACTTCAAGCTCGATACGAGATCGAAATGACCGGCGACGCCGATTAACCGACAACCGACGCCACGAATCGCGACGAATAATCCGCGACGAATTACGTTCGCGAGCGTTGATCCGGCCGACTGATAGTCCACACAACGGACATTCGATACCTCGTTCGGCACTCCCGACGTACATCTTTCTACCCGACTCGATTTTTAGCGGCGAAAGACGCGAAAGACGCGGAGCGATCTTGCTTCGACTTCGAACGGAGTACGGCGCGAGACCGAACATGGCCGCCGTAATGCGAGTGTCGCGAACGGCGAGGGTTAGCCGGAGCGAATCGCGGCGAATCGCGGTCGCGCGCATTAGTCTCGCACAACTAATGATCTACGGGAATCGCGCGACACTTTGTACGGCCCCCGCGACGCACGTTTACGCGTACAATTCATTCTTTCCCGATAAAAGACGCGAGAAACGCGGAACGATCTCCCGTCGGTTTCGAACTCGCTAATCGCGCGAAATCAATATGGCGGCGACGCAACCGTATAGGACCGTTGACGTTATAACTGCACTCGAGCGATCTGTTCCTTTCTGCGACCACTTCGTGTCTCTTTTGTATTTAGGATAAGCACGTATCTGGATTTCTGGAATAGAAAAAAAAAGAAAAATTATGAGACAACATCGCTGAGAAGAGTATACATGCGATAATTACAATTTAAAACTTAAAACTATAGAAAATTAGAAAATGCGATAACGCCAAAAAACGGTCAAGTGGCTCCATCTCGCGCTCGAACTTCGAACCTCGATATCAAACTCGCGACTTTGCAGTCGGTAAAGAGTTTGATTGACGAAAATCAATTTCGCGAAATATCATATTGTCCAGCTGCATTTGATCTTCAGAATTAATTAAAGATGCGATTGTTTAATTTGTTTGTTTAAACTGCTCGAATTTCTACGATGTCCTGTCAGAATTAACGTCAAACGTCACGATATGCGATTCTAACCTCATTAATGGATCTATTCAGTTTTAGGAGCATCTCTCGCGTCTTCCCCTGTTATAAAATAAAATAATCGCACATATCGAAGGAAAAATTAAGGAGGCGAAAGACAAAGCGCAGTTCGGCAAAAAGCGTGACTTGTCTGCTATGTGTGTACTGTAGCCCTTCCCAAAAATGGCACAAGTATTGAACAGATTACTGCTCAATAGACGTATTTACGTTCTGTCCAAAAACAGTAAGAGATTCGCCGGTCATAGCAAATGGCAAAATATAAAACACATAAAAGAAGAAACTGATAACGAACGGATGGTGCTGTTTCATCACCTCAAGTTGCAAATGACAGTTGCTATACGGGGTATGTGATATTCACTGTAACAATTGTATCCAATGCTCGCTAAACGATAGACTCCCCATATATGAAATATATTAAATATATATATTCTACTTGCGTGATTAATAACTGCATTTCAACATAGCTTTTCAATATACTTTGTACATACGTTGCTGGGTACATTTGATTTCATTGTGACGTAATAACTTCAGCATCAACATGCCAGCCGTTATGAAAAAGAAAATAAATAGTATCTTCTTTCAGAGAACGGCAGTACAAAGCCTACTCATAATTTAAAACTATCGCAAATCATTGAACGAGCTAAGAAGGTAAACATGCCTGTGGCATCGATAAAGTCTTTCCTTGAGAAGATGGAGGCACGTAAGAACAAGACTCAGACAGGTATAATTGAAATTCGTGGACCAAACGGTTACGTCATGCTTGTACGTTATACAACGGATAATCCCAAAGCATTCTCGCATGAGCTTAATGCGAAACTCAAAAAGACCAGGTATGCCAGGCATGCATGTTTCTGACATATAAAGTATATATCCGAAACGTATTGGAAAGTATTACTATCTTAGGATATTTGGAAACCAAATTTTATTCACTTTATTATATAATGCTCCATATTTAGCATTATATAGTACAGTAATAATTCTTTTATATATATATAAGTAGTATAAGAGACAGCACAAATTAAATATTCCAAAATATATACCTCTTATCTAATATATTTTTAATTGTGTACACAGAGGAAAAGCTACAGATACCTCTGCCAAAAATATGTTTACTCATTTAGGTAGTATCATAGTTGAAAAGAAAGGCGATTTGGAAAAAGCTACGGATGATGCTATTGAAGTTGGTGCAGAGGACGTGGAGGAATTCAAAGAGAATGATACGGAATATTTCCAGGTATTCAATAAGAGCTTATTTTTTAAGTATTTAAATAATTATAAGGGAATTATGTAATCTTTTACACTATAAATGAAGAAGAACATGTATATATTTATATATGCATGTATGATATTAAAATTACAATTTGTATATGTTCATTAATTTTGTTTTACAGTTTAAATGTGAGCCAAAGCTCTTACAGAAAGTAAAACATCTTTTAGAAGAACGTCAATACTGTGTGCTCACAGCAGAGGAAGATTATATACCACAAACTATAATAGAATTAAATGAATCAGATTTGGAAGCTGTTTCTCTTATTCGTGAGAAAGTTTTAAGCTTAGAAGATGTCAGTCATATACATGATAATTTAGAATAATTTATAATACTTTAACATAAAAATACCCATGTATATATAAGTAAAAGAGGTATAAATCACAGGTATAAATACATTTTATATAATCATGTGGTTAAAGAATAAAGAACTGTTTAAAAATCCTGAAAAACTTTATATATAAATTTTCTATATTGTAAATATATTTTAAAAATATTTGAATAAGAAATATACTTGTTATTTCAATATAAGAATTGTTATTTAAAAAATTACTTTATTGAAATTACATCAATTAAATAAATGCAGTTGTAAACATAATTTTATTTTAATATAAAATTATATTAAACACTCTTTGAAAAATTCTTTCAATATATTATAAATAATTTACTTGATTATATATGTTGAAATGATTTTCTGTTATTACAAATCAACATATAGTAATTAAAGTGCATACTTTTGTTCAAAAAGATATATACATATATGCATATGTCATAAATATCAATTAAGATTCTTGTCAAACAATAAGCTATTACTTATCTGCTAAGTAAAAAATGCATTATTCTACATATTATAGGTCATATTCATCTGCACCATATCCTTTTATATTATGGATATTAGAACCTGGAAACTCTGATATTGCATTGTTATGGAAAAGTGTTATCAGTATTCTCTTGGACATCCTTGCTTTTACATTCCATGGACTATTGATTATATTGTCGATCGTATCAATCACTTTACTCATTTTTGAAGGTGTATCGGTAGGCTCCGCATTTTCTATTTTGTCCTGCTTCATAACATTTACATTTACAACTTCCTTATTAGGATTGGAAGAATCTCCTACATCGTCGGATACATTCTTGTCTTTCGATTTCTTGCTTTTTTTATCTTTTTTTTCTAATTTTTTGGTATTTGGATCTTGCTCTTTGTCAGTATTTTCCTTATCGAAAATTTTCCTCTCTACACTGCATACATCGATTTCACTCGAACTATCTTCCTTACCAATGCTTTTTCTCTTTTTCTTCTTATGTTTAATTTTTTCCAATAGTCCTTCTTCTTTTTCCTCTTCTTTAGTCGTAGGAACTGGTAATGTTTCAATTATTGCTGCATCCTTATTTTCCTGTTCGATTAAATAATCATTTTGTTGCTTTGAATCTGACTTATCTAATATCTCAATATTTTGGTGATTCAAACAGTCTTCCTTACTGATACTTTTTCTTTTGTTCTTCTTATGTTTAATTTTTTCTAATGGTTCTTCTTCTTTTTCCTCTTCTTCTTTAGTCGTAGAAACTGGCAATGTTTCCATTACTGCTGCATCCTTATTTTCATTTTCGATTAAATCATTTTGTTGCTTCGAATCTGATTTCTCTAATATCTTAATATCTTGCTGTTCATTGTTTATTTCTGTTTGAATAGCACGTTTTTCACTCTTGCAATTTTCCTTATCTTTCTTCTTTTTCTTTTTACATTTCTTAGAAATTGCCGTTTCTTCTTCTTCTTTACTCTCCTTATCTTTCTTGATTTTTTTCTCAATTGTCTTTTCAATCTCGATACCTGTTTTTTTATTTATGACACAAAGTACTGTAATGTCTTCAACTTTGGCCTTTTTCTCTTTTTTCTCTTTCTTCTTTTTCTTCTTTTTCGATTGTTGTTCCATAGTGTCTGTTTCTCCGTTTTCAACAATACTAATATCTGGAGTATCTTCTGATTCTACATTGATTTCAATTATCTCCTTTTCTGGTGACTCTTGTATCGTTTCTAAATTGGACGTTTTAGATATCTTCCTCTTGATTTTTTTATTTCTGTGCTCATTCAACTTGTTATCGTTAATTTCTTCGTATAATATTTGTACATCTAACGCTTCATTAACAAATCCGTTTGTTACAGGAGTTGTAGTGCTCTCGCGTTTCCGCTTCTTTTTACTCTTCTTATTTTCAACTTCAAATTTATCCAATGTGACCTCTCCTTTCTTTTTCTTAGCAGAATTTATATTATATTCGTACAACATGACATGATCGTTGAATGTTACACGTTTCTTGTTGTTTCTCTCGTCCGTCAGATCTAAACCGCAGTTTTCAAGACCAAACTGTGCTCTAAATACTTCAAACTCCTTGCCATTACGATCCTCTTCAGGGTTTGTGCCTAGATTAAGTGCTGGATTAATAAAACCATTTTTGCAATCACTATCAATAGTTTCAGCTTTTAATTTCTTTCTAGTATTGTGTTTATCTGCTTCAGTGATGTGCAAACTGTCAAATTCCTTCTTCCTTTTCTTCGTAGGCTTTGTAGAAGAGCCATTGCAGTTTTCAAAGCCAATCTGTGCTCTGATTACTTCAAATTCGTTGCCATTACGATCCTCTTCAGGCTTTGTGTCTAGATTAAGTGCTGGATTAATGAAACCATTTTTACAATCACTATCAATAATTTCAGATTTTAATTTCTTTCTGGTATTGTGTTTATCTACTTCAGTGATATGCAAACTGTCACTTTCAAATTCCTTCTTCCTTTTCTTCGCAGACTTCGTAGAAGAGCCATTGCAGTTTTCAAGATTAATTGGTGTTCTGAAAACTTCAAATTCCTTGCCATTACAATCCTCCTCCGGTTTTGCGTCTAGATTAAGAGCTGGATTAATAAAACCATTTTTGCAATCACTATCAATAGTTTCAGTTAATTTTTTTCTAGTATTATTTTTATCTACTTCAGTGATATGCAAACTGTCACTTTCAAATTTCTTCTTTTTCTTCTTCGTAGACTCTACAGAAAAGCCATTGGTGCTATAAGCAGTTTCTATAGAACTATTCAATCCCAAGCAAGGATTGTCAAAAGCGTAATTGCCTTTATCATCAGAGTCTTTTAACGCTCCACAACTGGACAATGATGTATCTACCGTTTTTGGTGCAAATCCAAAACCAACATGTTGATCATTCTCACTTTCAGAGTCAGTTCTTTGATTATCAGGCATATTGCTTGATAAGCTTGTATCATTGTGTGACTTTACATTATATTTCAAGTAATCAGACTTATTACTATAGTTCGACTTATGTTTAAAATATTCAACCATGTTACCACAGTTAATTGTGTTGACTCCATACCAATCCTTAAAGTCAGGAGCTTCCGTCTCACGAATACTGTCGTCTTTTTCTACCTTGACTTGAGTTTTTTCAACTAATTCTTTTTGACCAAATATATTTGCCAAATCCTTTGATTTATATTTATTTATATCTTTACCGCGCGTGAACTTCTTGTAACTGCAAATAAATTGATATATTTTTATAATTATGTAATATACAAAATATTTATTAGTTTCATTTTTATAAATAAAGTTAATATTCGTAAAGATGTTTGTATGCGTAAAAAGATATCTAGATATCACAGCTTACTTAAAACTTTGTTTAAATCTGAATGTATCTATATGCATACATCTTGCATTTATATATTAGCAGAAATTAGAGAACGATATAATGCTTATAATATATAATGCTTACTGCACACGAGCACGACTCTGCTTAGATTTCAGCTCGATAGACTGTCCGCTGAGATTAGTGTCCCCATCTTTAACAGCATCTTGATCTCGATTACTGTTAAGCTGCTGTAGAAAGTTGCCAAATTTTTCCTGATGTTCAGTCCACTCCTCAAAATTCTTGTCATACCCCACACCTTCCAGAAAGAAATAAGATCTTACTTAAGCATAATGTCTACAAAATAGCTAGCCTCTAATGTAAAAATTACAGATTGTTTTAGGTACATACCAGTTGTGTCGCTCTTGTGTGACACGCTGTAAATTTCTGTAGTTCCTTGCTCATTAATGCCGAGTCCTTTCCCTTTCGTCCAGCCCATCTTCTCCAACATTTTCTGGCCGATTTTGTTCGAGTCTGCATTGACGTAAACATATTATTAGTAGGAAAAGCACGAAACGAGATCACAATGTATGTTGGTGCATAACGGATGTAACTTGACTCGCAAAAGTCATAACTGACAAATTGTGAGAGAAGTAAACTATAGCCGTAGATTTTATATATCTTGAAATATTCACCTTCGGTCCAAAACTTTCCCCGTGGATTTAAAGTCCACTTTTGCTTTTGCCGGCGCTCCGCGAGCATGGACATGCTTCCTGATTTAATTATCAATTGCCGTCTTTAACACAAACACCAATCAGGCGTAATTAAAAGCGATAGAATCTCTCAATCTTTACTAGCTACTTTTTTCTCCCGACAGATTAGATTTGTACTGAAAGCATCGCAAAATATGTCGAGCTCGCGCCCTCGCGAGAGAAGACGAAATTATTTTAGGTTATGGGCAGTATGGGTTATTCATGGACTAAAATTCGCGACTCGCCAGTCACGAATCACGAATCAAAAAGAGTTTTCATACGACACGTGCCCAAACGTGCAACATTGGCCTAATTAGGCCAATATTGGCAATATCGGGAATTATATTACGCTCGATAAAAGCAATAGCTAATTAAAGTAAAAAACGATCAATTTTCGAACAATCATTAATTATTGCAATATTGGCTTGTGCATTTCCGTGACAACGAATCGCGATGAATCTCCTGATTGGTCAAGTCCGATACCGGAAGTCCCCCCGCTTTCATCACATTTTCTTCGAGAAGGAAAGGAAACCCGCGTTCAGCGACTCGCTCGGCGTTCCTTCAATCCTTCCATTTCATCGCTGACGACGCAGGTAGCTATATCGAGCTACACGGGTAAGATATTTCTTCTCGTCTTATTTTTTCGTAATTTGTAATTTGTCTACGCACTTATTTCCGCTTGTACATAAAGCTTTTAAGATCGCGCCGCCTCGTCGGTTATTCCTCGCACGTGTGATTCATCGAATTCGCGATCGTTGAATCCCGCCGTTTCTAACCGCGTTCCTTCTCGAGGCTCGAAGCCGCCACGTGGTTTAGTTCGATACGAAATAGAAAATCCTCGAATTGTGCTGCGATCTCGTTAAGAACTTGAGAGCGAAGAACGACTATCTGTTCCTCAAAACTCAAAATCGTCTATTTAATTATGTGCAATTGCCTGAGATGTCAATATTTAACCTCTCATTTTGGCATGCCTCCAGCTCGTATCTCGCTGGAGCATGAATGCTTGTGGGAGGTAAAGTAAAGAGGGAACTTGCCTTCGGAATCCACACAATACTGTCTGGAGCCGTTTCTCTAAGTTTCCGACACTGTCTTAATCTTTAAAATAAATATGTCGATGCACATTTCAATAGATTTAGGCTACGGTCAACGTGACGCTACAAATGCTTCGAAGCATTCCTCTTCTCTTTTCTTTCAATGAAGAAAGAAAGAGAAGAAGAACGCTCCAAAGCATTTGTAGCGTCACGTTGACCGTAGCCTTAATACTGATGCGTGTACGCTTGCCTAATTTTCCTCGATTTTACAGGATCGTGCACCAATCGAGGAACAGTTTGTAACGAAACACACTTCGCCAATATTTTATATATCCATCTGCAGAAAGCAGATGAACGATTAGAGAATCAGGAAAAAAAATAGTTTCTTCTGCAAAATAATGCCAGACTTTGCATTGCTGGACAAGAGCTCTACGACATGGATGGACGGTTGGACTATCAAGAGACACGGTAGTGTCTCGCGCCAAGTACACGCGGAGCGAGACCGACCGTGACTCTTTTACGCGACGTTCATTATACAGCCCAGATCTTGTTCTATGTAGTTTTTGGGTATTTTCCAACCTAAGAGGAAATCTTAAAGGTTGAAAATTCAACTCCGGCCTAAACATGAAAGACGCGAGTACTGGATTAAGAAAACTCCTGAAAAGTTATCTCTGTGTGGCGTGAAAAAGAATGACGACAAAAGTCATGGAATATTTGTGCAAGGACGTTACGATTATGCAAGTTAGATATAAGTAAGTTTTTGTAATTAATAAAAGCCAACATTAAAAGTTTTTGTAACGTGATGATACCGGTATATGATATCACTGTGATTATACACAACGTTTTTACCTCTAAGAAGAACTGATCTTTAAGTTGCTATTTCTACGATTGCAAAAATCTCAAAATTAAATCTTGATATTTATGTATAAATTTAAAATTACAGAATATATACCGTGAAAGATCAAGATGATGGCAATACTATAGACTCCTAAAAATTCATCTCTGGCAGGAAAAAGAATGACGACAAAAGTCTCTATTTGGAGTCCTCATATTTATTATGTTTAGAAATATTCAGCATTTTTTATTTGAAGAAGATCAATGCAGATGAGATTAATGCAAATGGGATAATTGCGCAAAGGACGTTGCAAATGGATTATGCAAGTTAGATATAAGTAAGTTTTTGTAATTAATAAAAGCTAATAAACATTAAAGGTTTTTATGCAACACGTGCATGGAAAGTGCCCCATTACGCACGCTACGCGTGCGTGATAGACCACTTTCCAGGCACTTGCAACATAAAATAGGGAGTGTAAGCCGTGTGTAAAGATGAAAATTCCCGGGTGGGGTTACCGCACTCGCCTTCGGCTCGTGCGTAAACTCCGCACCCGGGAATTTTCATCTTACCTCACTTGTTACACAAATAACTATTATAACGTGATGATACCGGTATATGATATCACTGTGATTATACATACGGTTTTACCTCTAAGAAGAACTGATATTTAAGTTGCTATTTCTACGAAATTGAAAAAAACCAAAATTAAATCTTAATATTTGTGTATAAATTTAAAATTGCAGAATATATACTAAGATCAAGATGGTGGCAATACTGGATGGCAAAATGATGGCAACTATAAGGAACAGCTGAACCTGATACATTCCATGATATTGTTCGTGCAAAGTGGCAAAATTTGAATTTATTCAAGTTGCAAGCAAAATATTGAGCGAGAAAAAAATATTCGTAACTGGATTAAGGCCCCTGGTTTACATTGATAGTATATACAGCGTCATTCGTGTAAAATTGTGAACCCCATGAATGATAGTGAAATTATTTTTGCAACGTACAGTGTTATTTTTCGTTTTAGTACTTGCTAAATTTCGTTACAGTATATATAAACATCGCCCTTTATACAATCATCCACCATCTCTTTGACAATTAACGGATGAGGCTCATCACAGACTTCAATGGATTTTCTGCATTCACATGATTAAATCTGTTGTATGTAGACTGTATTCAGGCCCTTGAACTGTAAATACTATTGCTTTCATACCGTCATCTGTTGATTGCCCAATGCATAAAACCAAATTACCTAAAAAAAAAAAAAAAAAAAAAAAAAAAAAAGTTTTGTAGATTTGGTTTTTACATTTTGTATATTTTGTTTGTACATTGGGTAATTAATAAATCTATAAAAACTTACATTTTAGAGGGAAAGTTTTCGGTATATTTTAAAAATCTGTTCTATCGATTACAAACAATATTTTTTATTCGTTGCAAGAATTTTCATGATATATTTTCTAACGTTATCAATTCAAGATGACAAATGAGTGAACAGGAGCCTTAAAATGTTATGATATAAATACTTTTATAATAAATTATAAAGTAGATTGTGTATCAATTCGTATTTCTTCACCTCTGTAAGTTTAGTCCTCTATCACCTCAAAAATTACATTTAATAATATTGTATCTATAAATTATCAGTTATGGGTATAAATTTACAATCCTAACGTTTTGCAAATATTGTGATATATTCGTGCTTCTTCCGGTTTGTCTAAACATCCGTAGAGATCGTTCAGCTTCAGACAGTCGATTTTGCTCATCGCTTTTCGCTGGCCGATTGCGACGCCGGGTATTTTCGGCGTTAGAGTCGGTTTCGTAGGGTCCGCGCTGAAGAAATGGCTTCCGTAATGCATTATACTATCATATCCGTATTCGTAGCTATACGTGGCGTTCTCCGGCGATTGCTTGTTGAAGTTGGATCGAAATCCTAATAATAAAAAAAAGCGATGGATAAAGAAAGGCAGAATATCGTCTATGTAATTCAAAATATATAGTTATGTATTTTTTAAATATATGCAATATAATTATATGGATTTTTGTGTTGCAATTATGTAATTTATGAATGTTAACTTACCAGGAATGATATTTTCGTAATGTATGTCTATATACATGTCTCTGTCGGCGCGACTGTGCTCGTGGAAGAAACCGAGGGCGTGCATCAACTCGTGTATCGCTCTCCCTTCGTTTTCCAAGCAATTCGACCCCTTTTCATCCGGCGGTTCCAGGGAGAGTATCTGAGCTCCACCGAATTTCCCCACGAATGACCAGCACCTGTGGATTAATTTCACGAGGCAGAAGGAATGAATTCTCTTTTTCTTTTCGCAACGAAAATGCTGCAACATCTGCTTTACAATATTCACCCTTTGGGGTATATTATCGGCCAAATCAGCAAGAAGTCCTTGGCTTTACCGTCCCATGGAACGAACTTTATACATGTCATGTAATTTATATATGTTACGGCTTTATATATTTTCACGTAGTCCGCTGTATCTGAAAACGGTCGTATATGTTACTCCTTTCTTATTCCACATATTCCCTATTGCTTTCGGATGTTGAATGCAACATTAAATTTCATTTAAAAAAAACTTACTATAATACATACCATACAGAGCGCTGATTACGTAAGGAACTGTCCTATTTTCCCACAGTTTGTCCGGAAAAACGTCCCAGCGTAAACCGACGCGCCAGTAATCGAAATACTACGCAGAAATGATATGAAATGTATTATAAGAAATGTAGAATGGAAAAAAGGAGAACGCGGCGTACCTCGCTGGTCACAGCTATATCTCCCTCGAACAAACCGGGACGGACTTCTGGATCCTGCGACGATTCGTAGAGCCGTAACAAGTCTTGATTCGTTGTTCTAACTGTAAAGGAAATTTTTGTAATTTTTATTTTGTTATTCTAACACGCAGAACATGCAGTTTCCATCGCATCGACATTTTTTTAAATAAAATCTAATGCTCTCAACTCCGAATGCATCCGCGTTTACCTATATCAGGCACGACGGGATGTATCACGTTGACGGAAGTTCTGCTTGTCGGCAATGCGATTGCAAAACCGATAATCGCCACGCAAAACAAGTAGCACACGAGCGATTTCATCATCGGTTTTTATATCGCGCACTTTTGCGACAACCAGAAATTCCTACGAGACGAGATTCTCGCAATCAACCGTAGCTTACGCGGTTTTTTTTTCAAAACTAAGTGAAGATAGGTAACGTTAGGGTAGGTTGAGATTACGTCAGCTGGAATCAGCTGATCGGCAAAGCATGTGGGTCCAGGAGCACACGAGGTTTCAGTCTCGAGCTTCTTACAAGTGTATTTCACGAGCTTGACATAAATGCGACTGTGAATTGTGACTGTATTTATTTCTCGTTGATGTTCGTTCTTTAATTTATTTAATTATGCAAGTCTAGTCGAAATAGAATCGCCAACACGTACTGTCCCAGGTAGCAGGATGACGTCTAAAGACGTCTTAATGACGTTTTATTGACGTTAGAGACGCTATTATCTGGTACCTGGTATAAGGTCGCACTATGATCTTATATTTCATAGATTATATTAGATTGATTATATTAGATTGGTGTTTACATGAATAAATAATCGCATATACATCAGAGTGACTATGGGCTTTTCGATACAAAAAACCACTGAGCCAAACTCAGATCATGCAATTGCAGGCGCTGCCAGTGGATTTATAACGAGATTTCTATGTCAACCTTTGGACGTCATAAAGATTAGATTTCAAGTAAATCGTGTCACATGATAAAGCGTACTTTAACGTATCTTTCTCCAGTCTTGCAATCAATAAACTAGTATTTTGATATCGCAGTTGCAAGTTGAACCAATTTCGAAGGATCACGTTAGCAAATATAGATCTATGCCGCAAGCTTTCCTGCTAATTTTAAGAGAAGAAGGACCTACCGCATTATGGAAGGGTCACGTACCTGCACAATTTCTCTCGACTGTCTACGGGATGGTTCAGGTGCCAAACAAAAAATTTATTCAATGATTTAATCGCAGTTTATATAAGACTTTATATATTCTACGCTTCTAACAATATATACTATTTGTGTGTGCAGTTTTATTCCTATAACATATTCACGAAAATGTTGCAACGAGTTCCACAAATTGAAGAATGGCATCACACGACGCATTTCATCGCCGGTGCTGGTGCTGGCAGCGTGGCGACGACCGTTTCGTTTCCCTTCGACACTGTGAGAACTAGATTAGTAGCCCAATCGAGTAATCATCGAGTGTACAAAGGAGTGTTACATTCTTGCAGGCAAATTACAGAAAATTTACTTTAATTTACTTTTTAATAATGGAAATCTACAGTATTTTATTTACTAGTGTAGACGTGTAGAGATCTCCTTATATAGTATTATTCTTTTTACATTTGAGTAACATATAATTTTGTCTCTTTTTTTCAGTTCGATTCTTCGGCAGGAATCACCGAGGGCCTTCTTTTCCGGTCTACTACCGACTTTGCTGCAAATTGCTCCACACACCGGTCTGCAATTTGCGTTCTACGGATTCTTCACAGATTTCTATAAGAAATACACCACCGGCACCGATATCAATATCTATAATTCCATGTTATCTGGTAGCACCGCTGGATTGATCGCTAAAACAATCGTGTATCCGTTCGATCTCGCTAGAAAGAGATTGCAGATACAGGGTTTCCAGCACGGTCGTAAAGGATTCGGCAAGTTCTTCCAATGCAACGGATTAGTAGACTGCTTGAGGGTGACGGTAAAAGAGGAGGGTGTGCGAGGTCTATTCAAAGGCTTGGTGCCGAGTCAAGTGAAAGCCGCCACGACTTCGGCTCTACATTTTACTACATACGAACAAGTTTTATTGCTATTAAAGATATTACGATAATAGAGGCTCAAATGGAGGGAGTATATTTATAATTATGTATAAACGTTGCTTCAAAAATTAATTTATTACATATTAATTTGTACTTTTAAGAAACTGTGAAAGACTGATTTTTAACTGATATTACTTACATGATATACTCATAAATAAATTATATACGTTGCATTATATTTACATGTATAAAATCATTGAATATAAATTACGTAAGTTTATCTTAGACTGAAAAATGTATATTACAATATGATTATCGGGAATTCCTCATGATTATAGCAATGTTCATCATTTAGCAATGTTAAGACTTTACATATTCTGCAGGCATCAATTCTGGATTTCCATCTAAGACAGCTATAATATTTTTCGCTGTGATACTGGCCATTTCGTTTCTAGTTTCTACGGTAGCGCTTCCTATGTGAGGCAGGATCACTAAAAGGACACAAACGCAGATTAATATCATTGCATATTCAACTAACATCTCGACTAACATCCTGTACAATCTCTGATATGAGTTTGTATTGACATACGTACCACAATTATTCAGAGTTAAAAGATCAGAATTTGACGGCAGCGGTTCTGGTGATGTGACGTCTAAACCAGCTGCTGCGATTGTCTTAGTCCTTAAGGCGTCGATCAGCGCAACTTGATCCACAACTAGCCCGCGGCTAGCATTCACGAATATAGCCGTGTTCTTCATTTCGCTGAAGGCCCAAGCGTTAAACATGTATCTCGTTTGTGACGACAATTCCACAGTTGCTATGACAAAGTCGCTGTTCTTGAGTAAAACGGAAAAATCGACTTTTTCACCACCAAATTTGGACGCTTCCGGTTTCTCAGTTCTGCTAGTGTACAGTATCTTGGCAACATTAAAACTTTTAATTATCTCTGCGACCCTGAAGCCAATTCTACCTAAACCGACGATTCCTACGGTTTTCCCTGCCAGTCCTGGGCCGCACATCCATACGGGTGACCAAGCTGTCGTCCAATGGCCACTGTAATAACCACAATAATATATTCAGTTTCAATGTACCTTAAGCACTGTCATTTTATGACACATCTTTATATACCTGTGAACTGCTAAGTTTGCATGTATCACGTTCCTTGATGTGGCTAATAAAAGAGCTATTATCAGCTCCGCAGTGCTCTCAGTCAGGACGTTTGGAGTATAACCGATTTTAATGTTTCTGTTTCGCAAATTGCTTATGTCTAGATGGTCCACGCCTACTGACATCGTTGCCACGACTTTTAACTGTGGGCCTGCATAGTTTAGAACCTCGTTATCTATCTCATCCGTCAGCACACAGAACACAGCGTCTACTCCACGGATCTTGGATAATAATTCATAGCGTGGTATTGGCTCAGGTTTCTCCCATATTATAAGGTGATATCTGTGACAAAACAAACGCTCTGTTAAGATAATGGCATGCTCTGACAACCCAATTAAATTATAAATATGTGTTTATATACATGAAATATGTATTTGTTATTGAACTTGCTGCATTTCTTTCATGACATAAAATTGTACGATACAAAAAATCAAATAGCCGTGTATTGTATTAATGAAAAAATTTAAAAAATAAGATGATAATAATTTAAATCAAATGTAACTCACCGTTTACGCAGCAAATTCAAGCCCGCAGCGGGTATATCTGGTCGTGTAATCAAAACTTTGGGTTTACTCATTTCGACGGTACTCGATATCAATGCCCTCGGATAATTGCAGACTGTCAAGCCGATTCTCTTCGAACGAATGATTCTCTCGCTTTGTTTGACGAAACGGATAGCATTCAAAAGTATCATTATTTATTGACATTTATGTTATTCGCCAGTCGGACGGGTCGGACGAAAGGTCGCATGACACGTCGACGAACTAACCCCACTTGTGACTTTCAAAAATTTTTGGAAAAACACAGAAGTAGAAGAGACGCGATTTAATGTGACATAATATTGAGCTGGCGTTCGGCGAACATGCATGGAAAATTACAGAACGGAGATGTTCGTCATGTTCGTTACACAATAGATTTATGCTCTCGCGCTATCCGAGATAACAGGAGACAGTAGCGGATCTACATTTCTGGAGCCTGAAGCTAATATTTCTAGGTCTTGAAGCACTTCCAAAATAGTTTTCTCAATAAAAATTTATGCTTTTTATTTATTTATAAAGTTAGCAGGTACTTGTGCAAAAATATTACACTTTAAAAATAGACAAAAATAACAAAGACCCCGATAAAGCGCATATAAAATAAATTTTATTTGTACAATTTTCTTCTTTTTAATACAAATGGTATATATTATTATGAGCTGGTAACATTTCTTAAATTAATTAATAAACTGCAGTTTTACATATAATTATTTTCGCAAGAATAATACTTTGTTAACATATTACAAAATACAATACATCTATCAATCATCAATTAGAGATCCTACAACAAGCTATTGCCGTGTGTCAATATACAAACGCCTTGTCTTCTAAACGGTCGGATTGCTTTGTGCTTTCCTGATTCCTCATAGCAGCCGTAACTGTATTCTTCATCAGCATTGCCACCGTCATGGGGCCTACGCCGCCGGGAACCGGCGTGATATGCCCGGCGACCTCCTTCACGCTGTCGTAATCCACGTCTCCCACAAGACGATACTTGCCGTCTGCCGTTTTCACCCTGGTGATACCCACGTCGATTACACAAGCGCCTGGCTTTATCATCTCCTTGGTAATCAAGCCAGGAACCCCGGCCGCTACCACGACCAGATCCGCCAGCTTCGTGTACTTTTCCAGCTCCGTGTGAGGTGTGTGACGATGACAGATTGTCGTTGTCATGTCCAGCGCACCCGTTTCGCCTGAAAATGGGACGTACGGTTAGTTTGAAAAATCAAGGATAACAATATAACGTTTGATGAAATTCATGTGAGTACTTGCGCATTAAGATTTTAATCTGTGAGTTTTCTTATTAAAAAAAGAGGATGAATTGACAAAGAAGCCATGAATTGGTAGAGAGGAATAAAAGAAATTAACTAAATTAATTAAATGCCCGATGATAGGCAGCCCGACATTACGAAATAAAACAGTCGCAAGAATTTAAATAATGCTGCAGCAGTGATACAATTTGAAAGGTCTATGGCGTCAGAATATGTTGTCTCTGATATGACTTTGGTGTGGCTAAATTTTGTTAGTAAATTGATAAGTCAATCACCTTTGCCATCGGCATGAAGTAATAGTGCGATAGGCAGCCCGACATGTTTCGATCTACCCACAACTACGGCGTTCTTTCCAAAAGTCTCGATTTTGCTTCTAAGTACTAATTCCTTGACAGCTAAGGCAGTGGCTGGTATGACACTGCTGTTGTCCAATGTCAGATTACCAAGGTTCTCCAAGTGAAAGCCGTCCACGTCTTTTTTAGGAATTATCGCTTGACACACTTCTTTCTCATTCATGCCCTTCGGCAACGGTAATTGCACCAGAACGCCATCGACGGACGAATCTCTGTTGAGGCTGTCGATTTCCTTAAGAAGATCCGCTTGCGTTATATTCTCTCCCAAATGAATGGTGTAACTCTCGATTCCTGACGATTAGATAAATAAGATTAGCACGCGAGTTTTGCGGTGGAAACTGCCTGTTCGCTGAGGGTAAAAATGGAATTACCTATCAACTTTGCTGCTTTCATTTTCCTGCCGACGTATGCCTTGCTGGGTGGATGGTTTCCCACTAATATCGCCACCAGCTTTGGCCTCTTATTCCCCGCATTTGTACAAGTATCTACAACCATCTTTAATTCCTCTTGAATTTCTTCCGCTATTTTCGTCCCGTCTATGATCACAGCTTCTTGCCTGCAACCGACAAGATCCAAAATATAATAAAAGGAGCAGATGAAATTCAAATGCCATTTTGTTATACCATCTGATTGTTTTGTCTGATTCGTTAGAGCTGTTCTCTGACACGTTCGTCAGATTCTTAACTAAAACTCAATGGCTCAGTTTCATCATCACTGTGAATTTCCTTTAGACCCGTAAAACATTTCAAGAACAATGGGGCGATCTTTATTTATTATTTATATAGGTAATTTTTTCAAGATATACATTATAAAAACAATACATTGTGGCAGCCAACATGTTAAATATACGTTTAATATTTGTTGTCCAACATTTAAGGATTCTATATGCCGTAATAAGTATCTTTTGCATATACTATAATTGTAAGACGTTCTTATTGTATTCTCTCAAATTAAAAAAAAAAATTGTTCACACGAGTCTGACAGAAGAACACACGCTCACCTGATTTTCGACACATGCAGCTTTCTCGCGAACTTCTGCGAGATGACGGAGATGACGTTCCTCCAAGAGAACATTGTTGGTCGCTGTTGCCTCGTGGGACTCGCACGCTGATCTAAATTCTAAGGATTGCTACCGCATGCCGTCAAGAAATTCCGGGTCCCGGGCGTGGCGATGGGGGGTCCTCGTTGCAGGGGACTTGGGGCACTTGGGCAATCCCCGATAACGCGCGAGGGCTCGTGCGTCCGCGATAACGACGTTCGGACAAACAGCCGTGAGCCGACGTCGTTGGCGATAAGTTCGCAGGGGGTCGATAGCACTGCGGAGGTTACGAAATCGATCGGCTGCCGAACGTGATCTCGAGTGAAAGGAGAGGCGATTAGATTAGAATTAGGGCACTGGTCCGACCGGCTCCGCCTTATCCGGCGCGGAGAAGTCGCGCGGAAAGAACGGAGCCGGTCAGATTCCGCGGACTGGTCCACGTGGTCCATATTCGCGATCGACTTTACGGCACCGACGAGGACGAGGTATTTAACAATTTTTAAAGACAAACACAGTCCCGAGTAAATTAGAGTAAATATTTTCGTGACTCTCTCTCAAGTGGGCTTCCCGTCCCCGTTGGGCTCGGAGATAACTGAAGAGTGCAGAGTGTATAGACTTTACTGACTGTCGGACACACGAGATTTGAATTTTTCGACTGTCAATATAAATATCCGAACAATTATAGTTTCTAACGCAATATTAAATTCGTGATTTATTGTTATTATGCGAATGTCTTATGAATAAGCTCGTAATATACGCATTGCTGCGAAATTTTTATTTCTGTAGTATAATTATATTATAAATGATGAGTCGATTCTACCGACAAAGAAGTACATTTTTGTCGAAATGATTTCGAATGATAATGAAGATGGCCCCACGATTCCATTAATCCTCGCGTGCATTAGCAGGTGGCCAGATATACCGTGTTGGATTGAAAACATTAATTGCATGTAGATAATAAAACAATAAATTATTTATTTACTTTAATCCGTTTTATCTTTGAATCGATCCTTATTGAAGATGCATTCGCTGTGGACGCATATGTTGCCATTCTATAATACATATCATTATAATTGTGCACAAAATTAATTTGTAATTTTGTCAATGTGTTTAATTTAAATGTACACATTCAGTTTTTTTTTAAATAATAGGGATATAAACAAATTTTTCGAGTAAAATTATTTTATTTAAAAATATCAATAAAAAAAAGTTTTAAGTTTTTTAATGTTTTTGACGAGTTTTTTTTTAACAAAATAATATATTATTTTATTATAAGTTTATGATAATTTATGACAAATTCAATAATGGCATGCAATAAAAACTAATTTTCGGTAATCGTATTTCTTATAAAAATAAATTGTAGTTTAGAGATATTTACAATATTTGGAATAATAATTAATTAAATCGCTTTGATTTTCATTTAACGCTCTTTAAAAATGTTCTTTCAAGATTTTTGGAATTATATCAGTGTTACAACACTTCGATTTCTCATATAAGGCCAATTACTTTTAGTGACACAAGTCGACACAAGTATCGTTCTGTCTTTGTTATTCACTGAATGCCAAGAAGGATAGAACGATGTTTGTGTCGACTTGTGTCACTAAAAGGATTTGGCCCATAATAACGTCAAAGTTCCATAAATACACGATCAGCATATAACATCTCGTGTTCTGAGATTAGAAGTCATTCATTAATCGTTTAATGTGAAAACAATCTACGCCTGTTTTTTCCAGTAATTCCATAGCAATATCGCTGATCGTCGTTGCGCTAATGCCGAACCTATATACAGATCGCGTATTAAGAAGAAGCGTTTCCGCGGAAACGAGATGCGCCGGAAGTTGAAGCGATTACGTAAAATTATTGGCGACTTTCAGGACCCGGAAAAGAGACGCCCGTGTCCCGGGGGAACGAAGTAATATTACGTTGGAACTGTATTAAGAGTATGAAATATGACTGAGCGTACCGGCGTGCCGGCCGTATTATTACTCCGATCCATCGTGTCGTAACTACTGTAACGTGGCCCGCATAGTAAATATTAAACACCGGGCCTGGTGTCCGAACATACGCTCGCGAAACTTGACGTGCCCAAAGAAACTCGTCCAAAATCTAGGATAAGGAAAAAGCAAAGAAATTATTCATTTCTCTGTTTATAAAAAAAAGAGACAAATCTGGCACCTAAAATAATAAAATAATTTATATAATTCTATTATTTAATAAAATAATTTACTATATTTATTCAAACTATATGTAGGTATATTTATTTATTATTTATTAAAAATAATTGAATATTTTGCTTAAGCGTAGGTGCTCTATTGTTATTAACAACGGCAGTAGATCAGTGGAACGCGCCGCGTCTTTTGCAATTTCGCAGCAATGCATTGTCACCACTTTGTTTCAAAATAGCGGGTCTATCGATTATTGTTAACTATTTTGAGGATGAGCGGTGGGATACCGGACAATTTTAGCAGATCCACCGGCAGTGCGGCCAAATATTTAGTTGGCCGCAAGGTTTGGCGCATAGAGCGCATACTTTCCGCGATATTATAAGCCGGGCTTGAGCTGCCTCGACGTGCGACCATTCATCAAATAGTTGGTCTCAGTTGCGATCAAAGTGCTGGTATGTGCGAACGCGCGTTTGTTGCTAAATCTTGCTTGTCAAAATTTCAAATCGATTGCAGCACGCCCGGCCGAAATACTTGACGTTGCGAAGCGAGAAACATTTCTGGTGACACGAACAAGCATGTGATATTTCATAAGAAAAAAAAAATTCTTTAGACCCACACATATTAAGTAATAATAATCTATTCAGATATAAACTTATCTTTTTTAAAATAAAATGCCGTTTTATCGTTACAAAATATAATAAAGTGAGATCAGAATGTCGGAATTAATTCGAACGCAAGTTCTTAAAAGAATATTAACGTAGAATAGAATATTAACGCGTATGTTAATATACATATATTACGAAGATATAATGTAAATTATATAAAACATCCTCGCAAAATAGTTTTATATTCCGCTGAGAGGAGGAGAAAGAGAGAGAGATGCAACTATGTCACGCAGTTCAGCTATTTTAGTTGGTGGTGATTAATTTCGTCGAGTTCTTTTCGCGTGTGTCCGTGTAGCTTGAATTTCCTAAATTCACGAGCTGGTTTTGAGCCCGTCCAGAATTCCTCGCTGCTCAACATTTTAACAATTCGGCGCCCGCCATAACTGCGCGTAACTATGATAATTATGCGTCTCTTTAGTAGCGTCGTTTCCTGTAAACCCCGTGCGCGGTGTTCTCCGCGATTTTCGTGTTTCGAACTGTCACCCCGCTTTTCCGCGTTACACGGTAAGAAACGTCGCGCTTTCGCCCTCTTTCTTCTTCCTCCCCTCTTCTTTTTTCTTTCTTTTCCTTCGCGAGTGGAATTACTCCCGATATTTCAGGGCGACGTCGCGTCGACGCGATCGGAGCACCGCAGACTGCATTATGCAAAAAAATATGCGCCCGTTGAATGAATAAATATGTATTCGTGTCTCGTATGTACTACCCCTCGCCCTTTGTCCTTTACCCTTCACCCGGTATAAGCTTCGCGACAGCCCTCATACATAATTTATCGCCCGAAGAATCTGCGCGCTCTCAGCGATAAAACGGTTGCCATAATCGGTACATACATCGTTATCGCTATTGACACAGCAGGTGAGGCTTGCGCGAATGCGCCTAAATTTCGCACTTTTGCCCTGCTTTTATATAACAATAAGTAGAGCATCTCGCATCTGGTTTTTAAATGGAAGAATATTTAATCTGAATATCTATCTCTCTCTGCCGCGTGCACTTTGCTAGATTAACTTCAACAAATCGTAATGTCAACAATTTATTATATTTCAATTTTCGTCACTTTATATTTATATTATAGTTCTTTTCGTTTTATACTATGGACTTAAAATTTGCGTATTTATGTAATTTATTCATTGTGCTGAAGAAGACCAAGTAAGATCGAAACGTCGTCCACAATGCTTTATTGATCTTTGAATAATAAAATATTTTCATAACTTATAACAACATTTATTTCTGCTCGAATTTGACCTCTCGATTCTCTCAATTTGTGTTTACACGTAACGAGCGTCTGTTTTTTTTTTAAATACCTGACTTACAATTTACTTATAGATTCTTATAATTTGACTAAAAACATGTTATTAAGATAGATTCGTGCTATTAAATTACGACAGAGCGTTCTATTTTGCGGCAACCAATGTCCATCTCTATTTTTATGTCAGGCGTATTCAGGGGGGGTCTTGATAAACTCTGAGCGGAAAAAAATGCGCAGATATGAGTAAATTTGTTCTGAATATCGCCCGAGATAACGAGAAGTTATGACGTAAAACTAGTCACACGCCTCGGCATCTCTGAAAACAACAGCGATGTCGACGGTTGACGTCAGTAGGTCACGCATCGGCTTGTCGCGCGAGGTCAACTTTTGCAATGGATATTTGCTCGCACACACGCGGACGACGGTGACAGCGCTGACAGCGCGGTTATTTTGATTGAAATCGTGCGTGACGATCTGTATATAAGTATCGTTGCAACACGTGCAGCCATTGCCGCTAGTTTTTTTTATCATTGCGTTCGATAACTCGACATCACGATCGTTTAGCATTTAATTACGTAAATATTCACTTATAGAAGCGATACAGCAATTCTTGAAGACCTATAACGTGAGAAAATTTGTCTAAAAATTTAGATAAAAGAAGGATATGGTGGTACCACGTTATTTTTGTGCGTTTGATTTTTTTTCTCTAGTCTAGATCATATTCGCTGCCTGGAAAATTCTATTTTTCCCCTGCACCTATCACACGCGTCTCTCTCGTTAACTGCTGACATTATTTCCGTTCTTGTGTGTGAATTAATAAAGCAGCGGCTTATTACGGAATTCCGTCGGCTATTGATTGCCACTTGCAGTGCGCAGTTAATTAAGCTTTTAATTTAATGTAAGCGATGGAGCGGCGGCGGCGGCGGCGGCGGTGGCGGACGCGTAAATTCTACGATTTCTCATCGAGAATGTCGGACGTGTTTCGCGATTCTCGTGGAAATCAGGATTTGCGGCCGACGATTTCCATCAGAATCTGGACTGGCGGCTGACCGCATTTGCGGTATTACTACTTGCCGGAAACATGGATCCGCCGGATCTTGGGCAGCCGTTGCCGATACCAACATATATGTAATGTCGGTGAAAGGTGTCAGCTGAAAAATTATGTTGCGGAATTATGTAATCTTCATAGAAAAATAAAATCGTTTGATCTTGGCGTCTGGGCGACGCGAGTGTGTTTGATCCTCAATAAGAAATACAGAACTTCAAATTAATTTCAAGTTACTTAAATTGATTTAATCCTGGACATACGCAGACCCCACATGTAGAATTTTTACCATTAAATTGATGAAATGAAATGTTCACAGAGAAAATGTATCAATATGCATGTCCGTGTTGTATTGCACAAAGTATACCGAGATGCTTTTCTCGATAAGAATATACGGTTACATTTCCAGATATCACGTGGTGCATACACCGTTAGTAATTACATAACAT